ACCCTACGATGCCTTCAGTTTACGAAGCCTGGGAAGTACCTCAATTCACTATTTCTTCCATGGTTCCCTCCATCTTTCTTAGTGCTAAGCCATGGGACATTGTTCCAGCAATCTTGTATCACATATTTAGATTGTATTGAAATCAGATAATCAGATGAAGCTTAGAGGAAATTAAATGAGGTGAAAGAGGCAAAATGTGACCAGATAATTAGAGATAGATGAAATCTCTCTCTCTTGTTCCTTTCTCCTTTCCCAAATTAATACACAATAACTGCAAACAGTCATTTAACATAACGAATGGATGTTAAGAAAAGGTCATTTTTATTTAGAGAAGTAAAGATGAAGTTGGGAAAATTCTTGATGCCACAAAAGCAGGAAAATACCCAAGATTTCAATTTCCTGACTATTTTGTGGCTGTACACTTAATCTTTTTGTCCTATCTGTTCATTGCAAAAATAACTAAAGAGGAAAGGTGGAGGAGTAGGGATTTGAACAGTAATATTTCTGAAAAATTAATGTTTTAAGAGGTTTTTCTTTTTTAATATAGCTGAAGTACAATTTCCTGAGATCCGGTGTGTGCTGGAAGAAATATGCAGTTACAGGGCAGGCCAGACTGTCTTTAGAAGGGTACATAAAACAGGTCACATCAGACATAAATGCAGATTCAGTTGCTTATTTTCCCTGATTTTTATAAGTCAGGGAGGACACAAATGATGGTGGTGGTCGTAGGATGAAGTACATTCCTGAATAACATTTTACACAGGATGAAATAACCAAACAGCTAATTCAGGACACCCCTCACAGTTGCATGGAAGCAAGCATGAAAGTTTCTTGCTGCCAAAAGCAATACTTCCAAGCAAGAGAATCTAGGCTGGCCTGAGGTGACATTTCATGGAGAAATGCAAAATAACCTGTTATAATAACAATGAGGACTGGCCACATACTGGTTTCTTTGTGTTTGGCAAAATACAACAAACTTCACTGCCACACAGGGGTCGCAGCTGTGTAGAAGAACAATGGATTTTGTTGTTCAGCATTGTCCAGACTACCAGTAATGTCTTATTAATGCTTTCTGTGTAGTGGTGAGAGCTATAATAGTAAGGATGTTGACAGGCTGGAGGGCAACTGTTCATCCGCCTTTCTGACAATGGCTAGAAAAAAACTGGGAGAAACTGGGCAGGCCGAGGTGTTTTTGCCCCAGGTGGCTTGGAACTTCAACCAAATGCTTTAGACCTGCTCTTTGGCAGCTGCTCAACTTCCCCCCTTTTTGAAACCAAGAAAAATGGGCTTGGTTTGGTCTATCTGTAAAATATTCTCTAAATAAAAGATGCTGAGCCACACAGGAAAGTTATCCTTGCCTCCTAAATTTTGTTTCTGGTGATATGTTTTGAAAGAAGCTTGCTAAGGGCACAACCCAGCCCAAGGTTTGCAGAAAAAGGACTACAATTCCCAGCTTGCTGACTTTTTTTCCTAAGATCACAGCTTCAACGAATCTGTTAATATACAGATGGGGTTGATTGTGTATAGCTATATAAACAACGACCAAAGCAAATTATAGTCAAACTAGAAAATGGCCATCAAGCTAATGAACATTTAAGGAGCACTAATAAAAATTTTACTATGGCCAGAAATTATAAAAAAGCATCACAAACAAATTCACGAAAAGTTTAATACACAGACATTTCACACTTCTGTTCCCACCAGTGCATTATTAAGATAGCTTTTTCGCCACAGCTAAAAGTCACACTGCAGTAATTTTGGCATGTGTGTGTGTGTGTGTGTGTGTGTGTGTGTTTGGGTGGGTATTTTTGCCTTGAAGCTGGGGAGCTGACAGTTGATGCCATCTGGACTCCCTAAGCAAATGAAAGATTATTTTCCTTGGACTTTCCAAGTCATATTGATTGCTGGGCCACAACTTCCATTGTTATTTTTCTTTCTTGTATACAGGCTTAAATCTTGAGGAAAAAGTCTGGCTGTACATCAGAACAAAACTTACTAAAAGTTCATCAGACTTCCAGTGGTCAAATGATGTATTTTTAGACATCAGTGCTGCAATCCTGTGCACATACACCTGCAGATAAACTTCATGGAATTGCATGGAATTGACATGCATGTTGGAATTTTTTAAATCAGGTCCTTTTATTTATCACTTTATCAATGAGTCATACTCTGATGAGTTACTGTGATTAGCATTTGATTAGCATATATTTTAAAATCCAAAATATGATCTCTTTACTAATTAGACAACAGAGATTCAACTTGCACAATCCTTTGTGGAAATGGCATTACTACAGAAATATCATTAATTCAGGAAGTTATTTCAAACTTTAAGGGAAATTCTTATTTGCATCAGTGTAGTTCATAGCTTGAGCCATAGTATGTGGGAGTCTCCGTTTGTGTTTTAGGTCTGCCACAAACTGACTGGGTGGCTTCAGGCAAGCTTCAGATATCAAAAAGAACAGAGGTACAGAATTATGAAAATTAAAGTCTTCATAAAGGCTAAGGATTGTACTCTTCTTATCAAAGCTGAATTAGATTTCATAGCTCACCTGGAAATGGAGAGGTTTTTAAATAACAGAGCAATGCTGAGGCCTGATTGATAGAAGGTGAGGATGACATATCTTTTATAAACCGTAAGAACACAAGGTGTTTCTGAAACACCATTTTTCAAGTAGCCACTGCCAGGGCCAGATCTAATATCTGCTTTGCTCTAATGCTTAAACTAGAGAATGAAGTCTGGATGTAGCTCGTTTCCTTGTGGCTTGATTTCTGACATGTCCCTCTGGCCCTGTAACATATTTCCCATCTGCTCATACAGATGGCATATTTCAGCGAAGACAAAGGAGCTGGTGTCCCAACATTCCAATATATTATGCTGCATGTGTCCCTCAAACTTTCTGATGAAAATTCAAGAAGAAATATATATACAGAAAAGTGATGGTGCAGCTATTTGGCTATCACCTCTCTCACCTCCCAGCGCCATGCAGTGTGGTTAACACCACAACACAGTTTGCAAAGGTTCTTCAGTTCGTTAGCCTCAAAGCCAAGCGGGGAAGAGCCCCTTGCCAGTTTTACCCATGAAGAGAATCTTCAGATTATGTGTCAAAAGTTGTAACTGCCTAAATGAAATCTGCCAAGAGACTTTCTGTTTTTTATTTTATTTTGTGTGTGGACCCAAGCTGTTCTTCCAGTTCAAATCTTAGCATTCCCATAATAAGTGCTTCACAAATACTACTAGAAACATGACTTTGAGCTTGATTTACAAGATAAAAGCCATTTTTATGTCCAGTGGTACTTCCTCTAGAGTAAATGCATTTAGAATCAGAGGCTAAGTATTATTATTTTTCCAGATATGGGAACTTATATTTGCAGGATATGCTCTGGTTTTAAAGTTGAGTTTAACATGAAAATAATGATCACATAAAGTTGCAATTAATTCTCTATTGCATTGCTCTTATATAAGTTACAAATTCTTTTTCCTTGACCATTAAAAATCACCTCCTGTTGCCTTAAAATCTTGTTAAGAAGATAGATTTACTTCTCTTTTTCTACCACTAAGTCTGTATGACAAGCCATAGGTTGCCCACAAAAGTTCAATTTCCATAAAACCTTCATGGGAGCCAAATGGCAAATTGTCATTCAGAACACATCATCCCTGTGGAAGCAAGTACATTGGTTCACCAGAAATGAGCATCATTCTTTTCTTTTTACACATGGATTTTCTGTATGCAGGCATTAGACCTTGAGGAATTAAGATTCAGTTATTTTATGGCTGAAATAAACATTATGAAATGAACTTGAGCAGTAAGCTTGATGGCTGTTTCTCTATTGCAAACTAGTGGTAGTGAAGGTTGACTTTGTCTCCAGATGTGTGTATTTCCAATGTCAAGGCATGAAAAGCAAATGGAAGGCTTCTGGAAAAAGCAGTAGGTGGCTCAGCATTCCCTTTCTGATGTTCCTCTTACTACAAATCTCTACCCCTGTCCTCCACTTTGTTTGCAACAAAGATGCAGCAACTATGATTAACAAGCTGTCCGCACAGCATACTGTTTCTTTAGAGATCAGAAACATTTCTGGAATATTCTGCTGCAACAGTAATTCTGATGCCACTGCTAGCTTCTACAGGAACTCTTACTGCTGATCAAGGATGCTTCAAAGGTGGAGGGGCCTAGTGCTACCATTCAGAAGGCACTGTGCAGCCATCCTGTCCTTTTTTCTGCAGTAAGGAAAAAGCCAGAAGATGTGGTGGTAAAACATGTGAAAGCTACATGTAGAAGAAGTCATTGTCTACTCTGGACCCATCCCCTGGTAAATTCAGGAAATGCAACCCGGTGATGGTTGCGATAAAAGCTTTGCAAAAGCTATTTGGCAAACTTGTTAATTTTCATTTTTGTTAATCACAAGACAAACAGGTGATTATCACATATGCTCTATGAGTGCTGAAATGTCCTCTTGTCTTGGAAATATGAACAAAATACCAGTAGAAAAAGGTACATCAGAAATATGTTGTTGTGATGCAGCTGAAAAGTCAAGGTAAGGTAGAATTTCCATCCACAAATGGATTTTAGGCACAGATATTTATGTGGAATCTTGTATGTTCATAAGAATCAAATCAATGGTTTTGTCTCAGGTTAAGGCATCCAACATTTTGATAAAGGTAAAAGCAAGCATTGGATGTTTACTATCACAGTGTTTCCTTACTGAATTCTACAAGACTAAGTCCACTTACCTAGAAATAAGTTGCACTGAATTGAGACTTTCTTCCAAGGAATCACGCACAGATTGGGCTTTTCTATCAAATATCAACTCTACCAAGGCTGTACCTAAGAAACCTTCCTCTCTCCTCTTTGGTTTGTATCACTTAAAATAATTAAGCCAGAAGAAGGAATCTAAAACCATCTGGGAAAAGAGCACAACTGAAACTATGGAAAGCTGGAGAGGAAGGAAAAAACCTCAGGTTTCGATACAGAGTTATATTATTTAAAATATTTAATGCTGACCTGAGACCATAGAGAACTGTGCCATCTGGATGTAAACGAATCATCCTGTTCTTCACAGTGACACCATGCACAAATGACTTCTTATCATTCAGGAAGTAGGTATCAGGAACCCAAAGCTGATCTGCTACTCTATTGTCCAGTGTAAGATTTAAAGGTATTACATTATACGAAAGCCTCTTATCCCTCCATGCTTGCTGAAAGTACATTGTCAAGGTATAGTCCTGAAATGATAGAAGAGAGAGGGAAGAAATAGGTTGAAATCGCTTTTTACCACTCCTTGTGTTACTTGAGATATGCAATGCAAGACAGAGGTCCCCCTTCCGTAACTATCTATATGGCCAATACCTGTAGTATTAATGTGTGAAGCACAGTCTGCCCTCTGTGCAGGAAATGTCAAATGGCAGAACTCATCACTTGAACAGCATGGTAGAGTATTTGCTATTCTTCTTGTATACACAGATACAACTAGAAGTATTAAGGGCACCATAATATGAAGAGAACTTTACAAAAACTTCCCAATGGTCAAGGTTCTATGCTTTAAAATTTTGAATAAATTGGAACATACTATGGTTGTTATTCAGCATGCATTGGCAACAAGACTCTTTCTATCAGATTATCAGTTTTTCCAGAAAATTGTCATATTCATCTGGACCCAATATAAAACTACCGAAAGCATGATAAGGAAGCAGCCTATCACTGATCATGCAAATTATCACTGACAACAAGCAAATAGCGTGTCTCCCTGTTCAAAGAAGTCTTTGTAAGGAAGATTTTTTTGTGGAATTCTGCAAGAAACATTTACAAAGAAATTTCACATGACAGGTGATAAACAGATCATCTCCTTCCTGAAGTTTATCAATGGTTCTTGAATTTGCAACTTCCTTTCTTATTAAGAAACTTCTTTAAAATGTAGCCTCCACTTTAAGAGAAAATATCTCAGTGACACCCACAAAATTAGAAATAAAGTATTTTGTAATCTGAACACTTCCCCTAGAAAGGAAGTTAAATTTTTTTTACTCATTTGGGTATGCAAAATTGAGGCAATCCAATTATTCTGTTTTGCAAGGCAGCAGCAAAAACACTAAGCTTAAGCTTCCTGAATGAACTATTGTTTCAGCTATTTAGATAGTTAGGCATATAACATTAATGTTTCTTAGTCTTAGGAATGGTATTCATACAGTTCACATTTTAATGTACATCTACCAAATTTGCACTACCTGAACCCATAGACAAATCAGTGAAATGTCTATGGGCAGTTTACAATAGTGTCATTCTAAAAGCTCAAATACTGCTAGTGGAGCTCCATCAAATCCTCCTTCTGTGTAGGTCAATTGTACATCATGCTTTTGCAATGGGTTGCACAGTGAGTTATGCAGGAACAAGGTGCACCCAGCTGCGTAGTGTAATGGACCACTGGCTGTACAACTGTTCTAGCCCAACCTTAACATTAGTTGGATTCTCCCTTTTGCATGGTCCAGGACATAGTTTCTGCTGGTGTAAAATACTACTTGCACTAACAATATGATGGAGTTGAATACTTCCCATTATCTGCCAACTTTCTGAAGATCATGATCAAAGTTCAAAAAAGCGTATGTTACGGAGAAGTATGACCAAGAACCTAGGGGAAACTGAAGCAAAAATGCATATAATTTGAAAAATGCTTCCATTCTGAGCAACGTGCATGAAAATATGTATGACCTTCAAAAAACAAATCTGTGAACTGAGGTGGAGAAAGGATGGAATGGAATGGAATGAACTAAATGATGAAAAAAACATGAAACTGAGTGGAACTTGATAGATTTGTCCATTCTTGCTCAGTCTTTGAGCCTGCTCTCATACCTTCTGAATTTCCTATTGCACTGCATCTTTGTATACAACTCAGACACACCCTGCTTCCATTGAATAACTTAATTTAAGCATTTAAGTCTATGCCATTAAGAATACTGAAAATTGTAACTTCTTTACGATTAGTTACTTTAACTGAATTGCTATAACCAGGTCTGCCTTGTTTGTTTAAACATACATTTCCATCCAGTAAAACTGTGTTAGCATAAGGTTGAGTGTTCACTGAACAATAACATCCATACTATTACATAAGCTTTGGACTAGACATTTCTCCTTCCACCTCCACCAATCTGCTTGATGGCAACCATTTTTGGTATCATTATACAGCGAGAATGCTCTGGTTTTCTTCATGCCATTTAGAAAAGAGGACATTGTTGTAAGAAGCATCATATAATAGTAGAATCTTCCTATGTTCAAATATAGGCAAAAGAATTCCAAAAATTAACCAATATTGACAAATGAAAGGTTATGTGGGCAACAGAAGATGCAAAAAAAAATCAACTGTTATGAGGGAAACCAGTATAAAATCATAATACAGTGCTACTTTAGCAGATGGGAAATCAAAATAACATATTGGAAGCAAAGCACTAGAGATGTTATTTTTATTTTTCTTGTTTTACATACATTTATATAATACAATCTCTCATCAGTTTACATTCACTACTTTAAAAAACAACTGCAATAACAATAAAATCAATAAAAGCAGTAACATAGAGCACTAAAATCTGGATTAATTACAATAAATTATAAGCTTAAACAAGTGTGCAAGGACACATTGAAAACATGCCACATGTTCTGCTTCCCAAACGGTATTGGGAGAGTGTTCCAAAGGGTACAAGCTACTGTTAAGAAGTCCTGCTTCTGAGGCCATGCTCTGCCTTATTTAATCAGATAGTATCCTGATTCATATCTGGTATATTTGACTTGTTGAAAGATTCTGGAAAACAATTCCCCACCACTATTAGCTGAAAGACAAGAGAGATGGTTAGATTTCTGTTGTCTTAGCTGCAGGGGAATAGCTAGATGAGAAAAAGAATGTTATTTAGTTATTAATTTCTATAGCCTGCATTTTAGCACAAACAGGCCCACTATGGCTGTGTGCAAAAAGAAAAAGAGCATTAAAATTTGCAATAGTCAATAGCAAAACTATAATATTGTAGAGAGCCCATATCACCATTTTAAAAACCACAAAAAGCTTAATCTTGTCCCCTTCAACGTCTACATGAAACCGCTGAGGGAAGTCATTCATGGGCTTGGGCTGAAGTGCCAGCTGTTTGAGAATGACACTAAACGCTACCTCTTGTTTCCATCTAAGGCTGCTAGAGAATCCACTGAATTCTTGAAGCAGGGTCTGGAAGCAGGCTGGATTATGGTAATACACTCCACATGCAGATGTCTTTAAGGACAATTCAGAGTATGAGCACCCAATACTGGGGGTAAAAATAAAAATGCGACTTTAAGAATTTAACATTGAAAAGCAAAGCTTATATGCTTATAATGTTTATCATTATAGTAATAATGATTTTCATCATATTCACATTAATTTGACTTATGATGCTGTATAGCTATAACTAATGTCTGTTACTGGTAAACTCTAGGAATTTTATATAATTCCATGTATCTGCTTCTGCTGATCATTCAGTACCCATCTAACAGGAATATTTAGTACTGAAATTCTATGCCAATTACTTGGTAGCAAGTCATTAACCTTAATGAAGTTGTCACCTGAGTAGAAATGTATAAGATTGCATGGCTAATGTTTTACCTTACTTTGCATAAAATATTAGTTCTTTCCTTAGCATTATTATCAAAACTATTTATACAGGATGCTTATGCACTGAACCAAACTACCATATGTCAAAGAAATCATTAGTGAATGCATGTATATAACTTTCTCCCAGAAGAGTTATCAATTCAAAAAGGAGTGCTCCAGATACTGCTGCTAAGATACTAGTCAATTTCTCTACCTTTTAAACCAAGTATATAACTGCATTGATAATTTGTGATTTCAGCTCTAGCCATTTATCTCCTAAGAATTTAATAATAGACATAAGTGTGCCACTCTGCTCTCACTCACTGTGTTGTACCAGTGAGAGCCACCACATGTACAATCGGGAGTGAGTGCTTTGTACACAAGTACCAGATGGTAATGTAAACTCCTGTTTACAGATCAGATTTTCTGACCTGTCCCATTCTGTATATGAGCATGTCTGCTCATTTGAGTTGCTTTAGCAAGGCCTTGTTCCCCACCGTTCTAGTGGTAGGTCCCTCTGGCAGGTGGGCAGCATAAAATGTTATTTTACTAAGCTGAAATATTATTAGTTTAATTTCCACATGTAATAACATTGCTTTTCTTGCATACTGTACATTGCTCAGAGAATGGTAGTTGCTGGCAAGCTCGCAAATATGGTATGGGAGGGAAACAATCCTAGGGACCCGAGAGAGCATCTGAAGGGTGACCATATACAGCAGATGTCCAGATCCAAGTCTGGAGACAGCACTGGAAATTGGAGCTCTGACCATCCTCCTCTGCCTCTCTAGCTGGCAAAGAAAGATCCATGCCAACTGCTCTTGAATGCGGGGAAGGGGATCTAGGTGTGAGGAAAGGGGCATTCCAGTGGGTGTGGGACAGGAGGGGAGGAGATGTGGAAGCTACAATATCCATATGCTTTTCCAGCCTTTTCCAGCCGCTGTCCCTCTGAAATGCTCTGGTTGGGCAGGCAATAAAGCTTGCCTAGCAAAATGCAGGGAAATGGAAATGCCTCTCCCATTTCCCCTGCTCTGCACCAGATGTAGCCATGCTCTGTTCAGGGGAATGTGGGATCACTTGAGGAGAGTTTCCTTACTCAGTAAATTGTGAGTATGAAAACAAAGCAATCAAACCTGAATACACTGAAGAAGACTAAGCTGGAATGTTTTTTCTAAATGGCACTTGCCTTTAACAGCAAGAGTGGAAGTTTAATGGCCCGTAACAACATATGAAAACTTCTTAGCATGGCATTAGCTTCAAAAGGCCATGTGTAGCAAAAGCTTCACAGTGACAGAGGAGAAAATTTAAGAATAATAGCTTGTGTGATCAACACAGTGAACTGTTTTCTAGAACTAAATTGAACAAAATTAGTTTTCTGAAAGCATGACAAATGCTACAGGAGTTTTGGGACAGTATTATAGGTATAAACAACAACAACTCTAAATACCAAATGAAATGCATTTGAGTGAATTTCAGACAGCTCCTTTTGGGCAAACCTAATAATCTAATCCTAATGAACACAAAGAACTGATAGCAAGTGTTGAATATTTTAGTGTTCTGCTGATACTTGCTGATCCATAGGATACTGAAGCCATTTTTTGTCTGTCTCTTCAACAAAAACATTTT